ATTGAATTGTTATTGCTCACATTCACTTCGTATTGTTTGTTTGAATCATTGTATTGATGTTTAGGATTGCGATTGATCAGTCTGTTATTGGCATATTTGCATACTATGCGTGTTGCCTCAATATTAATTCAAGTCACAAGCTTTGTGAGATGAAATGTGTGTCGTGGATTCCACTGCTAGCCACCATCCATCTTTTTATTAATAATGCTTGTGAATGAGAGTAATTTCGAGACAGTCTACGTAGAATGCATATATAACCAATAAGAGACTGATCAATTACACTGCTAAACAACAGTGAGAAGATATAAGCAAACGATATTAGATGAATTTCAACTTCATCCACAACTTCATGCACAAGCAGTTGACTATCACAACTCAATATGTAAGTGATAACATGATGGTGTTTGAAGTGAACAATAGTGGGTTCGAGTCCCGAAGTGAACATCAATCTTGTGTATTATGTATGTAGTTGGGAAAACATTTACAATATACAAACTAGTAAACTAATAACGAATTGAATTTGACAATTTCATGAGAATACAGAGCAGCGTATATACAACATTCATTCGTTTAATTCATGTTGTGAAGGAAGTTGGTTAAAATTAAGAGAAAGAGATTCGGAATCAACTTCGTTTGAAATGAAGAATTTTGGTTTCTAAATTTTCATGACTTTTGTTATTTTGATTTTGAATGCTGTTGAAAAATTACTGACTATAATGACCATTGGAAATGGTTGAATAATGTTGAGTTTTTGGAATGAAATGATCTAAAGTAGATCTGTCCATCGACGTAACTCCACAATTACTGAACCATACTAGAAGGCGTTTACGATAATGGATGTGAATGAATAGAACGTTGGCTAATAGAAATGCTTCTATAGGGGTAGTTGAAATTCACTTTCATTAAATTGTATGTTGTGGAAATTTTATTGGATTTCGCAAATTGTATCATGGACCGATAACAACAAGACTAGCATTGAATACAGATGAAGAACACTCTGTCATTTTGTCTTGGCATAGAAGTGCTTCCAATTGTTCATCCACAATATCATCAGGTATCGAACCCATGATCTCAAAATATAGTTTGACACCATGGTCTTGAGATAAGTATGTTTCCATGAAAAGGTTGATGCATTTAACTCTGGTCAACTCACTACACTTCTCAACTGTCATCCGATGTTGTTGGTGAACAACTTCTTCAGTACTGATGTGCAGTATCTCCACAGATCACATCTTCTTATTAGGACTCGGAGAATCGCCCTTCGGAATTAATCCACAGTAATGATATGATGTTTTTAGTGTTGGTTGGTTTCAGAATGTTGAATTTTGTATTTATCATTTGATATAATAACTCGCCTAATTATTAATTATAATATGACTCCTCTGATTCTGTATTAATTACATATTTACTTGCTTACATCCGTTATCCGTTTCGGAGGAGGATATACCTCTCGCGAAACCGATTATACTTTCCTTGCTTGAATGAATTTTATTTAGGTTAGTATAATTTGATGATTGGAATTCTTTCTATTAGGGTTAAAACAAGTGATTTCCCCTTAGATGATTGTTAACTTTCTAAACGATCCAAGTTCATTGATGTTCATCTTTAATTTAGATAACTTCGAATGAGATTTCATATTAATTTAATGGATTTTATTATTTACATGATGAATTAATCGTAGTTAGAGAGCTATTGAAGATCAGTAAGCATTAGGCATCTGTTTTGTCCGGGTATAAAACTCCTTATCAATTAGTATCCATGACCCCACCTGAATGAACTAATTGAAGTTAAACATGTCAATCATTGGATACCAACTCATTGGTCTAAAGGTGATCAGCTTATCGTAAGACCTGAAGATCCTACGTTTAACGCTCCATTTAGTAGTGTTTGAGAAACAGTTATTCATGGCTTCCTTGTTTTCAATGGTTATCTAAATAAAACTAGTTCATTATATAAATTATACAATCTCCTGTTATCTGAAAGTATTTTTAATCAAAATCTCTAGTTAACTGTAAGATCTAATAATATCATGTTGTAATGAACAGGCTGTGAATGTTTTTGTACAGTAGCAAACTTATAGACTTGAATAAGGTAGTCGTTTAATCCTCTTTTGTCTTTATTTGTCCAGATGTTGTCAACACAGAACAGTTTTTTGCCATATCGACAAACATCTAAAAACTAAGGTTAAATTGCAGGTAACCCAATATCTCAAACTAAGAAGATCCGAGGAGAAGTTGAAAATTTTAAGAATCGTGGTATTTTTAGTTCTACTAGGAGTTATCAAATACAGTAACATACGTCTGTATAGGGTTGTGGAGATTGTTGAATTTCATTGAAATTGTGAACTGATATAAGTCAAATCACCATTGAAAACCTGGAAGCGCTGAACTGCCTTTTCGTTCCGTAAGAGGCTCCTCGGCAGTACCCATCCACGGCCCGTCACGAGAGATTCGAACCCAGGACATTCAGTTTGGCACGCAAACTCTTGACCTCTAAACCACTGGGTCAGCATCCAACGGTGTTAATGTTTAACATCAGTCAATCTACGACATCGCACGACCATGTTTCACTGTCTTCGGTTAGTAACTGCTTCACACCCGACACGGATTAGCTTCGCTCCTCACGACTTCTCACTAGAATTATCTCTTACACCTAGTTTCTAGTGAGAAAATGATACTTACCACTATAGGGTTGTGGTTGATCAGTTCATGATCTGGATCAAAAGTCAACGATCAGGGATCAGTTTTTAAGTAGTGGCAAAATTATAACGATAACGTTTGCAATTTAGTCACAAATCTAAGTGAATTGATGACATCGCAATGGAGTTTTTTGAAAGCAATCAATAGCAACCTTAGGAAGTAAGCTTGATACTGTTTTGTACAGTCTTAAAAATTATTTTGTAACCTTGGAGAAACAGACACTGTTTTTGAAAAAAATATATTGCCATCACATTACCGTACTTCAGCATTTAAAAGACCGAATCGATCATACTAACCTTTATAATTTCACGTGCTATAAACTATGGTCCACCAGGGTGCTTAGTACCTATGTGGTTGCGCCACAGGATTGAGCTGTACTATTCAGATTGTAGCGTAAAAGCCTATACGGTGTCTGGTTCTCCTATGAATCGGGATTGAACTGTGCTGCTCGGGTTATAAAGTTTAAGCCTGGACGGTGTCTGGCTCTCTTGTTAAACGGGATTGAGCTGTACTGTTTGGGTTGTCACATGAAAGTCTGGATGATGTTTGGTTCTCCTGAAAACCAATGTAAAATTACCCTGGCCCACAAGGGTATGTTATGTAACTGCTATAAAATAACGAATTTTATGAGTGAAACCTCTTAAGCAACATAACTGCTTCTCATTACTTTGTTTTACAAAGTAAACCTAACAATCATGCACATTGGATTGATTAAAATATTTTGCATTTCAAACGGTTGAGAGATTTGAAGTGATTATTCAATTTGAGGATATTTTGCATCTCAGACTGACTCTAATAGACAATTATAGTGGGAAGCCATAAATAATAAAGTACAACCATGTCCTAAGTGGTACATCTATCAACGATGATAATCGACAATGGTCGAGGAATAAAATAAATTGACTGAAGTTAAACATATAAACTATTGAGTTGAAGCTCAACTGTCTAATGGTATTGTAGTCCTCCTAAGATCTGACAGTTTATTCCCAATACCACTATTACTAATAATAATAATAAATAATGGTTATACTAGTCACTTCATTCAATACCATGATGATGAGAATATCATTGAAAGTTTATTATGAACCAAGCTATTGAACTGGATAGATTCATATATGAATTATTAAATACAACTATGTACCAGGTTATAACATCTATTGGAAGAAATCAGATTTCACAAGTGTAAAATTGAATTACTCTCATAAACACATTGTATATTCAATCATTTACAGTTGAATTAACAATCATATAAACCATAGATAATCTCAAAAGTGACATACAACACTCTGACTTTCATTCAACATCAATATTACTAGATCTTACAGAAGTAATCAGACAAAGAAGAATTCCCCAATTATTTCTAGTATGTATGTTCTGTAGGCTTGTACACTTAACAGTTTGGGAGATGTATTACTTATTTGGATTGCGAAAAGAAACCATATTTGTGTGTGTGTGTGTGTGTGTGATCAGCTAAATAATTTTCCTTGACTAAGTAAGATAAGATCTAACTCTGAACTAATTTGAATCGTTCAATATAGTTTATAATTTTCCATAAAATTATCAATATTGATTATTATTGTTGTTTATAGGCTTGGCAACAAAATACTCTGAGTAATAAAAAAATTATTATATTTGTATAAGCCAGTTATTCAAAGAATAAATAAACAATCTACCTAGTGATTAATAAGCAAAGATGGATAGTAGTTAGTAGTGAAATCCACGATGCACGCTTCATCCTATTTGGGACTCGTCAACTGGATGTACCTGCATCTCAGAGTTGATGTTCACTCTGCGACTCGAACCCAGTATCATTCGCTTCAAATGCCATCACGTTATCCACTTATCTACTGACTTCTAATAAGCACCTGCTTGTGCAATGGGATGAAGTTATATGCACTTTGTGATGTTTACTTGTATCTTTCCTTTGATGTTTAGAACTAAGATTGATCAGTCTGTTGTTGGCATATGTGCATCCTATGCGGATTGCCTCGATATTGCTTTAAGTCACAAGCTTAATAAACAAAGATGGATGATATCTAGCAGTGGAATCCTGGACGCGCGTCTCATCCTATTTGAGACTCATTAACTGGATGTACCTGCATCTCGTACTTGGTGCTCACTCTGGGACTCGAGCCCAGTACTGATGCAGTCCTAAATAACAATCGGAAGATACAAGTAAACAACACCAAGTGAATACCTATTGATTAGTTTATTTAAAATTATCTAGTCAAACCTTGATATTGATATCAATTATGTTTCTAGTTCTTTCTTTCTTTCTCTCTCTCTCTCTTACAAATTTAGATATGACTTATCAACTTTATGGTACAACTCATGGATTATCACATTATTCTTTATTAAATGGATCATTAATTAATCAATCTCTATTACCTTCATTTCCAATATGTGATGATCAAAAAACAATTCATTTATTGAATAATTTAAGTAGTATATTCACGGATCAACATATTGAACATGCTGCTGATGGATTGAATACATTTAAAAGTATAGAAAGTAATTCATGTATGACAATTTCAAAACCTACTAATGTAATGGATACAAATCATGGTAACTATAGTTACAATTGTGAACAACAACAACAACACCACCACCATCACCGACAACACCACCACCAACAACAACAACAATTAATATTAAATAAGACAAATTCATTAGAATTAAACAAACCAACATTTATGCTTTCACGTTTATTAGATAAAATAAGTAATAATATAGAGAATAATGATTCAATTAGAGAAGTGATGACAACATCCACATCAACTATGAATAATACCATTAATACATTGATTTAATTCATTGAAAACAAACAAACAAACATTAGATGAATAATTCATTGTTCAATTAAACAGTGTTAGTTACTAATGGATAGAAATTTTATGATGCAGTCTTATAGACATCAGTTCTAGTTTCCTGTTGTACGTTTTCTATTTCATGTTTTCAAACCTCCTCCCCCTCATCCTCCTCCTCCTCCTACTACTACTACTACTTCTTCTTCGTCATCCTCATCATCATCTTCATCATCATCACCATCATCATCTTGATTAACATTTTCATCAGTAAAGCAAAGATGATCTACAATTTAATTTGTTGCTGAAATCAATCATATTTCTTTTTTATAATAACCTTTTTAAAGAAAAAATATTGTTCATTTAAATGATCATTTCTGATTATACTACTTATATCACTTATATTGTTTACAATATAATGCTAACTGAACAATTCCAATCATCTAGTAGTATATGGTTGTAACGAGTAAAAGGTAACGGTACTGTAAATACAATAAATACATTGTTATGATTGTATATGCAGATATATACGGAAGAATAAAAAGAAAGCCAAAATTCTCTTTATATGTTAAATCCTTTCCATTTGTTTATACAAGAGATATTATTATCATTATTATTGAATATGGTTAGTAATAATAGTAGCAATAACAGTAATATGTCTTGTCGTTTAATGCTTCTTCTTATATCTGGTCGTCGCTGTAATTGAACGGAAGAGATCGCCATTTTCTGAATCAGCACGGTAATGAAATATACTGCATGACTAATTAATAATCAATGTCGTTCAAGGAAACCGACGAGAATTCTGTATACTGATTGTCTTGCCTCTTTTTTCCACCCCATCGCCACTGACATGTCTTGTCGTTTAGTGCTTCTTTTTGTATTTGGTCGTCGCTGATTGTTGTGTCGGAAACGCTTATCATTTATACTTGAAACGAGGGACCTCTGCAAATACTAATAATATGGAAAAGTTGATCATTCTCGCTTTTTCCTAAATGTACATGGACTATTGAAACAACATACAATATTCTATGGTTCATTATTATGAGTTCAGTATTCGAATCCCAAAAGTCATGTGATATGTAGAAATATTGTTTTATTTACTTATTCGATTGATATAATAATGAAATATAAACAACTTGTGTTTAAAAAATAAATAAATTTTGGTCGTTGACATAGAAACAGAATATAAATGATGATAAAATGATTTCTATGGTTGAAAATCTTCACCATACAATATTCTCTTCTAAATGAGACTGCTTAAATGATATAGTTGCGGTGTGGGCTACTTATATCCATATAAGTAGTATATAACGATAGTTCACGATATAGCTATCCTGCTTGACATGTCTGACAAGAATTTATGTTTAGAACTTCTCCTAACCATAATCTTGTATTGAGTAGTGAAAATATTCACTTGATATTTATGTTCAATTAGCTTTAATAGTATATTGTAGTGAATGAGAAAATTAGTAGGGACAAACAAACGTATTCGGACACAGAATCACTTAGTAAAATGTGAGAATCATACAGTAAGCCCTTCATTTTTTTAGTTAAAATACTTCTATAGTTATATCTACTATTCTTAAACTGATGGAAGCAGTTAACTAGGTTTGATTTGAAACGTCCAAGTTCCTGATCAAAGGTCGGTACTAGATCTAATGTCTGACGATTTAGGTTTTCTCATGGGATGCCCGTATCGATATGATTTACCTCTTAAATCCTTCATTTGAAAAATGTCTCAGATTTGATTGTTCTTTTGTTTCTACACCAATCACTGTTTTTCTCTCATTCTCTTCACTTCGATCGTCTTGACATTCTGATGATACGCATTTCACTTTCAACTGATGATACATACTACTTATATCAACAATAAAATATAATACTGTATAATTCATATTATTCTATATATTGCAAAGCGTATAAATTATAGGCGTATTATGAGCAACAGATAATTCCAAAAACATCATTCAGTAAATAATTGCTACTTTCAGTATGCATTGTGGTGATTGTTGAATGTCATTGAAATAATAAAGCAATTCTCTGTTGTGGGGTCGTGGATGTCCACTGTTGAGGAGTCCCATGCTAAAGGGAAATGGATATTTAGTACCAGCCACGTTTTCAACATTGTCTAATTACGATTGTATCGTAGTTTCAATGAGATTATTGTTATTTTATCAATAATACTCAGATTCCTTCTCAGAAATTAACTTGACTCTATAAAAACAGAGGAATCATTGAATTATAATTCCATGGATTTTACTTGGACCATCAGATATGAATTTCGAAAACTTTATCCTTTATGTGGTGAACGGCGTACACAACTGGTGAATAGTATTACATTAAGATGTAAAATAGTTATCGGATTAATTCCAGTCACTAACCGATATCTACATAAATGTGTGAGTAAAATATAGTGCATTAACACAACTATTTTAACCCTTATCTTGTTTCGTTGAACATTAAGATGGTTAACTAAGATGTCACTAACTTGAATTATGAAGTCTTTAATACAATTGTTAAATTTCTTTTTCAATATAAATTATAAATCAATGAGAAAACTATTTTATTCAGTTTCGTCCTAGTACGCGACTCATCTGCAGTAAGGACCTACGATCCCGCTCTCGGGATTCGAATACAGGACTTTCGGTATACCGCGTTGATGTTTGACCTCAAGATCGCTGAGTCGGCATCCAATAGTGTTAATGTCTAACTTGTTATCTGATTGTTTAGTTATACTTGAGCATATATGTGCCTGGTCCTACGTTGTAGCTGACTGACTGAGCTTAATGATATCTTTGTCACTGAATAAAATCAAAAACCATTGAGCTCTATGGAGCATGTGATTAGGCGAGTCTCTAAAATATGACATATTTCCTACAAACCATGAATTTCAATATTTATTTCTTCCTAAAACCACGTGTCTGAATGAGAAATTTTTCATTACCAGTTCATATTCATCAAGTTTCTATTGATGATCCGATGAACAGTTTGTAAGCCTTGATATGATCACAAACTTGAGCTCCCGAACATATATATATTCTTATTACTTTTATCATAAGCTTTCATTTGACCTATTGTTTACTGTAATACAAACTACCATCCTTAAGTTATACCCAATCAAGTAGTTACAGTATCTCACAATCACAGCCACTTTTGGCCTGATCTTGTCTATAATTATTACTTTCTATTTTATGCTGTGATGACGCTGAGTTTTCTTGTATATAAACTGAGTTTGTCTGAAATACATAACTCATACAGTGTAAGTTGAGATTATGTTCTGACATTAAACAGATAAGGCTAGGCAAGAAAAAGACCAATAAGAACTCAAAGTTAATTCTAGGCTGCTCGTACCGATTAACGCATTATCGGTTTGACACATTGCCATAGTCGTATAAGTCGGTGTTGTAATTGGTGACTTAGTCATATGATAATTAATAGGGCCTAAGAATATAGCAGTTCATATAAATGTTAACTCAAAATGAAACTAGTTTTTAAATCCAATATATATGTATACTGTGAGCAGAGTCTGATTAAGAAATAATTAAAGCTATGGTATACTGAACATCAATAGATCATTGTATCCCAATGCAGTAATTCATAGTTAACTCAATCTGCATACATTTTGAATGTTCTAGATTTAATTACTGAGAGAACTCACGTGTATACACTTCTATGTCATCACATATAAAATTGGAAATTCTGTTTCAATGATCAATCTCTGTATTGTAAACTCGGTGAGACTATAATTAGTGGACAATCTTTGAGCGACCCAGAACTAACCTTGAAAGTGTCCACTTAATACCCAGGACTAAATAAGGGTTATAAATCTATGTGAGGAATTACAATTATGATTTACGGTTAATGAATTCGATTGAGGGTTTTTTTTATCACGAACTGTAACATCAGCTGTAATGTCAACACGCTATTTATTCAAATGGACGAGTGAATTTCGTGCCAAAATTCAAAAATCTGTTATTTTTATATCTAAATAGTTCATCTATAAAGTATAATCTCACTGTAAACTCTTCTCAAAACAAAAAGTAGACGTAGCATTTCTCTAAATCTTTCATTCAGATGAATTAAATTTTCCTATTCTCTTTTCTTTTCTTTTCTTCTCGTTTCTTCTCGTTTCTGATGATCATTCTCATTAGTCAGACACTTGTACATTTACTTCCATTAAACTAAATCAATTGCTTATCCATTTGTTTTACAAATTCTATACAAAAAAAAGAGAAGGGAAAACAACAATCTCTGATTAAGGACATTTCACTTCTTTTTTTTTACTTATTATTATTATCCTTATTATTTGTTTATATTAGCTTTGTTTTTTTCTTCTTTTTGCATTTTGATTGCTGTTATCGTTGTTGCTGTCGCTGTTGTTGTTGTTGTCGTCGTCGTCGTTGCCAATTTTCATAAGATCCATATGATTTGTTTGAATAAAAATCACTTTTTATGGAACATTAATAACCATATAATCATTATGATTATGATTATTATTATTAAATTGGTATTGTCAATGGAATGTAAAAATAAAAGTGATATAGATCATGAATAGATTTTAACTGTTTATTACTGTGTGTATGTGTGTGTTTATGTGTGCGTTTATGTGTGTGTGTGTGTATGTATGTGCGAGTGTATGTATTCCTTCAAGTTTACATTTATCATTGTCTATTGTATTGGTAGTAATAATAATAATAATAATTCCTAATGAGCATAATGACATTCATAGTTAATAGTTTTCATTATTCCACTAAATAGGATAGAGTATTTTAACCTATTCATTACATTATATCTCATGCTTCCACCCCACCCCTCATCCCTCCTTCTCCATCCATTCACTGCCTCGCCAGAATTAAAAACAAACAAACAAACATAATAATTCCCTATTTTGTTAAGGATATTTATGTTATTCATAAAGTGTGACTAGTTATTGTTACTATATAGTAGTAGTAGTAGTAGTAGTAGTAGTATTAATGGTTTTATTTGTTATATTGAATTATCACATTAAAAAGCATACTGAATAATAATAATAATGGTAACAATAATGGTACTGGTAATGGTAATGGTAATGAAAGCAGTAGAGAATAAAAGTGAATCAAGATTCCTCCACATTACACTGTTATTCATTCATAATATCGCATTATATTCCAGTTTTTCATTCAATATAATTGATAATAAAAGCTTTTGTCATTCTATTTCAG